GATCACCAAGCGCGTGAACTGGACCTTGTCGCCACAGGGCGCCAGAGGTCGGCGCGCCGCAGACGTGGCAAAGCGCAGGACTGCGTGACAGCCCAGCGCGTGGCAGCGGACCGACGGGGAAAGCGCGTGGTCGTTCAAGAAGGCTGAACCACTCCTGAATGAACCGGCGGTCCAACACCCCAAAGGGCCATCAGCACCGACAGACACGGCCAGCTGTGGCGGTGACTGTGGACCAGAAGCCAGGGAAGTGCAAGCACTCGCGCTGGAGGTGGTCAGGACGCAAGTCCCCAGAGCGCCAGGGGGCCGCAGCCGACTCCAGGGAGCCGAATAGGGACCAAGCGCGAGGGACAGAGCGGGGCCGAAAGCATTGAGGGCGGCGGCGACCAGAGCCCAGGCGCTCGAGACAAGAGGCGCGAGCCGAAGACGTCACGCAGAGGGCGCCCCCGCCCCAGCGGGGGCCTGCGCACCCAGTATTGACGGCGCCTGGGGGCCCGGTCCCCAAGGGCGGGGAGGCCGAGCCGAGTGCCGTGCTGGGGCCGTCACCGGACGACAGTGGACCTGCAGCGGGGGGCTGTAACTCGCTGCGGCCAGGCGCGGTGGTGAAGGCCAGGGCGAGCGCTGCTACAGCAGACGGGCAGGCCGCGCATCGGCACTTGGCGCCTCGCCCCAACCAGGGCATCGTGCCAAGTATTGACAGCGCCAGGGGCCTGATCCACAAGGGCGGGGGGCTGGCCAAGCGCTGCGTGGTGACCGGACCCGGTCGTGAGGGGCTGGAGAGACAGGGGAACACATGGATGACTGCGGCAAACGGATGCACGATCCCAACATGAGAACCTTACTCTTCCAGCAAGTGAGGGGAGCCTCCAGCCGAAAGCGAGTCTGCGCTGGGAGTACTGCCAAGGAAGTGACTACGGGCCACACTGTCTGTGAAAAGTGAAGAAGGGACAGAGGGAGAGGGGAAAAGCAGAACGTGAAGCCAGGGACAGGAGCGGAACTGAAGTGACTAACGGCCACCCTAACTGGAACGTCGGCTTGAAGCGCGCGGCACCAGAGTAGGGAGACCACACCCACCTGGATCTCTTCTGAGGGGCCAAGGCGAGGAGTGGCAGCCAGGGTGGCGCGGCGGTGGGCGGTTGCCTGTTCCTGTTCAGGCCCGTGCTCCAATTCCTGCGCTTGCGCCACTTCCGCGCCCTCCCCGTGAGCGGCGGGCAACTCCTGTTCATCGGGCCCTTCTGGCGTTTGCTCCGCATGCTGCTCTGGTTCTCTACTCGGTCGCGTTTGCCCCTGGCCCGGTTGCCTGCGTTGCCCCGCACTCTGGTCGCAGGCCTCCGCCTGCCGGTCTTCTGGAGGGGCGGGGGGCCGACGCGCCGTGGCTGACCGAAGCCCCGTCGATCTCCCCCCCGCACCCTTCCCACTCGAGGCCTGCTAGGGTTGCAAGGGTTGCGATTAACGATCGCCCTTCCAGAATATATCGGACGATCGATAGAAGCACCGGCCGCATGGGCGCCCGCCAGCCGGTCTCCAGGAACAGGACGGGACGACGAGCTGCGGCAAACGACCACGCGTTCACTCTCGAGCACCCCTGAAGACCGCTGCAGCAGACGGCCGCACTTCCCGATACACCTCCTGAGGCACTAATCTGCTTCGAACGTCTCCGAGCGCGGGCGCGCCCTCTGCAGCGCACCCACCTGTCACCAGGGTACTGCCTCCAGGAGGGGTCGAGCTGTCGAGCGCCTTTCTGGCCTCCACCGCACTGCTGCCCCAGGGACGCTGATAGGAGTGAGGAGCCGCATGGGCGCCCGCCTGCCAGTCTCCACGATGGGGGGGACGACAAGCTGCGGCAAACGACCGCGCGTTCGCTCTCGAGCTCTCCCTGAAGACTGGTGCAGCTAACGGCCGCACTTTCCGATGCACACTCCTGCGGCTCTATTTTGCGAGGAGCGTCTCCAAGCGCGGCGCGCCCTCTGCAGCGCCCCAAACTGTCGCCAGGGTATTATTTCCAAGAGGGGGCGCGCTGTCGAGCGCCTTTCCGACCTCCACCGCACGGGGTGAGGGGCCGAATGGGCGTCGAATTGCCGGCCTCCGGGAGGGGAAGGGGACGACAAGCTGCGGCAGACGACCACATGTTCACTCTCGAGCTCTCCCTGAACGCCGCTGCAGCTAACGGCCGCACTTTCCAGAACACACTCCTGAGTCTCTATTTGGTGAGGGGCGTCTCCGAACGCGGGCGCGCCCTCAGCTGCGCTCCCAACTGTCGCCAGGGTTCTGTCTCCAGGAGGGGGCGCGCTGTCGAGCGCCTCTCCGGCCCCCACCGCACTGCTGCACCCACGGGCGCTGATAGGAGCGAAGAGCCGCACGAGTGCCCGCCTGCCGGTCTCCAGGAGGGGGATGGGACGACGAGCTGCGGCTGACGACCACATGTTCACTTTCGAGCATTCCCTGAAGACTGTTGCAGCTGACGGACGCACCTCCCCGCACACACTCCTGAGGCTCAATTCTGTGAGGAGGGTCTCCAAGCGCGGGCGCGCGCTCTGCAGCGCTCCCGACTGTCGCCAAGATACTGTCTCCAGGAGGGGGCGCGCTGTCGAGCGCCTTTCCGACCTCCACCGCACTCTTGCCCAAGGGACGCTGATAGGAGTGAGGAGCCGTATGGGTGTCCGCCTGTTCTGTCGCACTGCCAGTTCTGTCCGCTGATGGGAGGGGGGAGCTGGGGCGACTACCCCAGCTGCCGTCACTGCCGTCCCGTCCGCCACTGCCGCACGTGGCCGCTGGGCTGTCGGGCGGCTGGACAACTGCCGGGGTCAGCCTGGGGGGCACATCCATCGCCGGCGGAGCGCGCAAACCTGAATAGGGGCGTGCTCGAGCCGAGACGGCTTGAGCCAAGGGGGCTTGAGCCAGGCTACAGAGGGATTCGGATACGCGACGCGTCAAGAATAAATATCTTGTCCGCAAGTTATAAAATCCTGGGCGCGCTCCCAGAATCTCGGCGCGCGCCGGGCGAGCTCTTGGAAAGCCGAAAAAACAGTCCAACAGTGCCAAAAGTCGCGCAGAAGGGGCCCCACGCTTCCCTCGTTATCCGCGCAAGCCCTCACGAGACACAGGCTCTTCTCCTCAACCATGTTTTGATGCGTTCGACGAACGGGCGGGAGGCAATCGCGACATCCTTCGACGATTCCAGATTGGATCAGGAACAGGAGATCCACGCATCGGCCAAGAAAACCGCAACACGATACCTGCGAGCACATAAACTCTCGGAACTCCAGAAGGGGAGGCGGCAGGTTGAGAGATGTCACCACGAGGAAAATCCAGCGCTGGGAGACCGAGGGGAAGGCTCGGCCGCAATCGAAAGCGAGGAGGGCGGGGAGCCTGGCAGACACTTCTGCCATCGCGGATGCGATCCGACATTCTGCATTCAACTCGATAGCGTTGCCCCCGAAGTTGCACCGCGGAACGAAGACCCTTTGAGCCTTGCTGATGAATCCAGGGAGAGCAAAGGTGAGCGGCTTGATACACACCGAAATTAATACTGTGCAACCCGCGTCATTAAGTCCCAATAATCGAGCACCACCCGCGTCTCGGACCACTTGCCCGCTGCCCTCAGGCTAGGGCCCCTTTCAAGAGGAAGGAGCCAAAGATCTGGTTGGAACCGAAAACCGGGGGGGCGGTGGCCAGAGGATGAAACCTCGGGCCCTCGGGATGAAAATTCCACGCCCATCGCTGTAGACCGTCAGGGCCAGGGGCGCCCGGGGAGACCTTGTCCAGGAAACGCTTCTTCCGTGGGCGGCGGCAACTCAGAGAGGTCGACCAGTGGCCCGAACCTGCGGGAGCACCGGTGGGCAGCAGCCTTGCCCACCTCACCCTTCGCAAATGTGGCCCAAATACCTAACCAGACCACGCGCGATCTCCTGTTGGTTGGCGGCGGTCGAGCTGGAGGTCAGCCTGAAACCTCGCAGAGGGCGCTTTCGGTCGCACGGGGACCAGAGTCGGGAGCGGACCTGGAGGCATGCAATCCCCTTGGCCAACCCGGCACTCCCGAGCATCGGCGGATCTTCCGAGAGCCCACGTCTGGCATCAGCTTGCGGAGAGTGGAACAGCACATGGTTGGCTCCGTTCGCCCCCGCATTAAACATGACGGCGCCAGGGATGCCCACGCCCTGGAGGTGAGCATCTACGTTGACAATTTTGCGGCCCAGCGCGCGGGGCGAGATAATGCGCCTGGCCAGCGACGCAACTCGGTTCCACGCTGCCCTGGCGATCGCTCGACAAGCGACGCAGCGGGAGAGAGGGTCACGGAACTTACCATGGGGGAGGCGATCACGCGCGCGTCTAGCTGCTTCGCGCATGGGATCTCTGCGAGACACGAGACGAAGAAGGGGGGGAAAGCTCGCCGACGTCGACCCGCGCCATCACAGACCCGATGAACTGCTGATACTCGGGGCGCTCGAAGATGCATTGGCGCATACTTCGGTCTGTGGCGGGCGTCTGTGCTCAAGGCTCGAGGAAAACACTGATGGCAGAGTGGCTCAAATGCTTCGTACTCGCCATGGCCTCAGGATAGCCACGCACTCGGGACCCGCGCACATCTGCGCGACTCACCACCCAGGTGCGGAAGCAAAAGGCCTGCCCAGCTTCCCGAAAGCCCCCCGAGAGGCGCAGAAGTGGGCGGGGTCCCCAGGGTCGATCCCAACGAACTTGTTCACAATGGCTTTCCATTGGCCTCCAGAGCGGATCTGCTGGAACGTGGGCTCACCAGGCCCTGGGAGGGGCCCGCCTCTGGGTCTACGAGATCCAACTTACCCCGCTTGTGGGGGGAGAGGCCCTGTCAGCGCCTTCGGGGGCTCATCGGAGAAATCGAAGTCGACGCCTGGGAAGCTGAAGCAATTTAAAAGGGGCCCACCGAGGCCTTGCTGAAATCCTGGGAGGTAGCCTCTAAGATGATGCTGCGCCGCACCGTTGTCAACCCGTGCGTGGTTACGCATGTGGAAATGAGAAACCCAAACGCCGTTTGGAAACAAAACTCGAACATTCAAGGCACGTCCCCTGAAAAGCTCAATCGCTTCTGTCACAGACCTCCTGTCGGCGCTGCGCGTTCTGCTAAATGTCGGGCAGGAGTGCGATCACCCCACCAGCAGGATGAGCAGACGGAGGGAAGAAAAAGAAGAAGGCCTGAATCCGGTGGCGCACGTGGAACAACATGTCCGTGATTTCAGCTTCCGACACGCGCGTTTCCTGGATCCCCAGGAAAGAGCCAGGCCCGAGGACCGACTTGATGCATAGGGCTCTGCGGCATCGGATACGTCGCTGGCGATCGCAAAAAATGAGCGTTCTGGGAACATAATGAAACCTGAGAGGGAGAGGGAGAAGAACAATTCCACGCTGAGATGAGCTGGTTCAACTCGCCACGAGACAGGCTCTGGCGGGCGCACGATGGTGGCCACCTCCCTCTCAATCTCATCGCGGTTGAAGTTGAAGTGGGCGATGTACTCAATCGCGGGCACATCCCCATCCTGCCTAGGTACTCCTCTGATGATCGGCTCCCATTGAAGGCTGACTTCCCCCTTGGCTCTGTTGCTGTGGAAGTTGTGCTGCGGGCGCAGTTCAAATAAGGCGCTCTTGAGCTGCTTGAAGACAAGTTCGCGTTTGACCATGACCTGAGACTTGTGTGCCGAAATGTGCACCTCTGTCGGTACACCTTGTGAATCTGTCGTGTTGAACCGCTGCCATTCCTGAGCACGAATTTGAAACTGACGATGATATGACCACCTTGCGTGCCGCATACGCTGCCGATCCGTTAACCCACAGAGTAAATATCATGCCGGCTGGTTCTCCTTCGAGATTGACCTCATTGGGACCGATGTTGTTGCGCCCGAGAATCGGCTTGACCACGCTGTCTGCCACATTCGCATTCGCTACATGACTCTGGCAACGTATGATGAGCACCGTCTGGTCGGGCGTGCGGTAAAAATCTGGAGAGAATACTTCCGCTGGCACCACTGGGACTTTCTTCTGCATGATCCCCAAGGGATTCTCATGGTTCTGGATTTTGGCCGACATTTCCGCCATCTCATCGCACTGCTCACGCTGTCGCCGTTCGACCCCAGCCAGGCGAGACTCGACGCTCCTGCTGAGGGATCCGACCGACTCGGAAACCAGATTGCCCAACACTCCGACATCGTTCAGAATGGACCCAGTGGCTCGCAGTACTCCAGATTTCGTCATAAAAGGGAGGGGGTCTGGACCCTCCAAGACAAGCCATTTCAGACCCCCCCCCGTGGGAGAACCCTCCAAAACATCGTCCCCAGACCCCCCCAGGCCCTCCAAGGTAGCCTGGAAGAGACCCCCCCCGAAATGAGACCCCCCTCCCTTTCTTACGAAATCTGGAGAAACTCTTCCATCGGGCCGCCGACATTACGGTTTGATGTCGTGAGCTCCTCCTGAGGCGCCCACGCAGTCGAGAGAGAGAGAGAACGGCTGCGATCGCCATGACGAGGGCCCCCACGCGCGAGAGCAGGCGCACCCGAGAAGCACCCGCGGTCCCGATACGCCCCGGTGTGCCTCTGACCTCCTGCGGCGGGAAGGCTGCTGCCTGCGAGATACCATCGAGCGCTCTCCGCACTGCTGCTGCACCGCCGTCTGCTGACATCGCTCGCGCAGACCACGCAGGCAACCGAGAGCTCCCAGAGCGCCTGGGGGGGCAGAAAGAGGTGGGCACCGTGGCCGAAAGGGGCCTCGAGAGATGGCCACGGAAGGGCCAAAAGCTAATCGCTGAGTCTCGGGCGTCGATAGCCCTTCCTCCTCCTCCTCCTCCTCCTCCTCCTCCTCCTCCTCCTCCTCACCACCATCATCATCATCGTCATCAGCATCTTCCTGATCTTCCCCGCCATCCTCCCCCAAGTGTTCCCCGAAAGGTTTCCACAACTGATGGGGGAACATATGGTCCAATAGCTTGGCAGAGCTCTTGCCACAACGCTCGGCCACATGGGCGGATCCAAAAGGAAGGGGCGGCGGTGATTCGCCGCAGGCGTCTTCGATCCGCCGCCCCCGTGACCTGCGGAGGGGTGCTTGGCGTCCCGATGTTTATAACCCTGTCTGGCCCTTCCAAAGAGTTCCCCATGACCTCCAGCCCAGGCCACAGCCTGCGCAAAGGGCTGCAAAAGTCGCAAAAATCGCCTCCAAGACGTACAAGACGGCCCAAGATGGCCTCCAAGATGCCCCCCCCCCCCCAGGAAGGCCAAGATGTCCCGAAGAAAGCTCGAGATGGCCCCTAAGTTGGCACAATATGGCATCAAAACGGCCCAGGAGGCAGGAGGCAGCGGTGATTCGCCACAGGCTTCTTCGATGGTACAGTTGACGTTCCCGAGCAGGACCGCAGCCCGCGGCGTCCCAGGGAACTGGCAGTGCCGCCGCGGGCACTCAGATGGAGGCTCGGCGGCAGTGCTGGATCCAGACATCTGGAGGCTCGAAAAGATGGAGGCGGCCGACTTTCCTCCACGCTGGGCCTCCAGAGGACCACCCTAAATGGGCCCAGAGGCCAGCAGAAAAACGCCTGTGGATGACAAGCCAGATGGCCCTGGGGAGGGGGTCCAGAGGTGGACCAAAAAACAAACGACACCACCCCACCTACGGCCCCAGGGGGCTTAGTGTAGACCAGGAAATCTGGCGGGGGCTTTTGCGTGGTATGCGCCACGGCCCCGATGGGCCGTAGCGCAACATGGAGGGCCGTAGGTGGGGTGGTGTCGTTTGTTTTTTGGTCGAGTCCAGAGGCCCCAGTCAGACGACAGGGGAGGGGGGACAGCAAAGGGGGTAGCGAAAATCGGCTCACGCAGCTGGCTTCCCCAGCGCCTCCTGGCGCCAGAGGCGGCCACGTGTCGAAGAAAAAGCGCCCGGCGACGGGGCCGAAACCCCGCCGCCCGCTTCATGCAGTGCCCCCGCCACGTCCCCTATCCTTCTCCTCCTCCTCCTCCTCCTCCTCCTCCTCCTCCTCCTCCTCCTCCTCCTCCTCCTCCTCCTCCTCCTCCTCCTCCTTCCTCATCCGCCCCTCTCGTCCTACCGTCTCCAAGAGGTTGAGCCGCCAGGCGTCTGGGGACCTCCCCGCTCGCACGGGACGCCAGACGGAGGAAAAGATCAGCCCGCGCAGCAAGGGCGCCTCTCCCGCTCGCCCCCGGTGCCCAGCGTGGGGCTTATCACCCTGATTCCGGCGGCTCCGCTTCAGAGATCGTACTTGTTGTTCCGGATATTGTTGACGACCCTGTGTACGGCCTCCTCGAAGGCGCTCTTGACGTTATGCCCAGTCTTGGCCGAGGTCTCCCAGAATACGAGCTGTCTTTCTTCGGCAAACGCAGCACCCTCTTCGTACGAAACCTCGCGGTGATCCTTGTCGCTCTTGTTGCCGATGAGTTCGATTTCTATATTATGGCTTGATGCTCCTGCGATTACTGCTTCCAACCACTCGGCGACGTGGTCGAATGTGTTACGGACAGACACATCATAGACAAGCAACGCCGCGCAGGCATTTCGAAAGTACGACTTGGTAATGGACCTGTAACTCTCCTGCCCAGCGGTATCCCAGATGTGAACCTTGACCCGCGCGTCGCCGATGTCGATGATTCGACTGCCGAAATCTACGCCTATTGTACTACCGTGGTCCGTGGAGAAAAGGTCATTTGTGAACCTGAACAAAAGGCAGGTCTTGCCAACCGAAGAATCGCCGACTACGACGAAGTCTAAACGGTAGTCATGGTCCATCCCTGGACCAGCACCCGCCATCGAAGCCATAACCGCAGAACAATCGCCGAAGCTCCAAACAGCGCCAGGCAATTCAGGTCGGCAGCCGGCTCGAGCCAACCTGGCTGAGGACGACGACTGGGATGGCACGCCAGTGACAGCGACCACCTACGGCAAGTTCGCGCCGCGATGACGTGGGCGTTCGTTTCTGGCACCGCGTGGTTCTACCCACATTGAACGATCGCACATTTCCGATGGCGCAGGTCGTTCAAGATCGGCCGAGTCCGGACGACTGGCGGCGTTCAACCTTGACCGCCTGCGCATGGGTCGCTGCCGCGTCCACGCGGCGGGAACCTGCAGTACCACATGCTGATGTCCCGCTTCGATATGAGAGCACCCTGGCTGAACGAGCACCTCCTCCCTCTCCCTGTTCCTACGCCTACTCCCAAGCAGTAATGCTCCTGTTCATACTGGCCCTCGTCATTTTCCCACCCCAAGGCTGCAGGGAGTGGACGCAGCGCACATCGCGCGTGAGATGGCAAAACGTCGTGTTTGCCTCTAGCGCCGCACGGGGCGCGGTGCATGTTGCTCGCTCGCGAGATCGCGGGGCCACAAGCCCGAAAGAGAAAGAGAAAAGAAAGAAAGAAAGAAAGAAAGAAAGAAAGAAATAAATAAAGAAAGAGGATGAACGACAACTAACAAAACAAAACGATGTACATTTAGGCTAATCGCCGCGCAGATATTTTCTGAATGATGCGCTCATTCCTGCAGCGCTCCTTTGAGGAAGGGGGAGGCAAAGAGGGAGGCGCAACCAGCAACGACTGTCGCGCCCGTCGCATGGATATGCGCAGAAGCCTCTCTGAGAGCCCTGCCCGGCCGATCCGGGCGGGCGCGAACAACAAAAACCACGCTCGAACAAGGAAATACTGCTGACTCGCCTCGACTTGGCAGCGACCTCTGCTGGAGGCCCCCGCGCGAACATACAAAAATGCTGGCTTCGCCTCGGCGCGGCAGCGACCTCTCCTTGAGGCCCCCCCTTTGGCTTACAGGACGAAGAACGGTATAAGATAAACTGTCCGCCGTCGGGGGCGCCTGCCCCACGGCGGCTGGAATATTTACACCCCGACGTGACACCGTAGGGGTTCCAGCCGCCCTGGGGCGCGCGTCCTTGCCGGCGGAAAAATTACTGTATACCGCTTCGCGCCCGCTAGGTAGGAGCAGTGAAAAACTGCATAACCATAAACTCTCGGAGGTCCGCGCGGATTTCTGGGATCGCCGCTGGACACGCCCCCCCCCCTTCTCGCGCGAAGCGCGCAGGGGGCAGCGCCAGAAGCGCCGCCAGGAGGGCCGGCGGGCGCGGCCCGCGCCCGCGCCCGCCCGGGAGCCTCCGGCAGGAGATCCGCCGAAGCTCCGACGGGGCTGCCGACGGGGCTGCCGAGAGAAGGGTTTTTTTTTTGCAATCTGTGGTTTTTTTGGTTTTTTTTGCAATCCTTGGGTTTTTTTTTGTTTTTTTTTTGCAATCCTTGGAGGTGCCTTTCGGGCTGCCCAGGGAAGCGTCCTCGGGTGCGCTCGGGCTGCCCGGGGCACCGAGCTCGGAAGCTCCCGTGGGCCCGCAGCGCCACGGGGGGGCCACGACGGGCGCGCAGGGCGAGCAGGGCCGCGCGCGCGCGGCTCGCGGAGCCCCAGGGGAGCCGCGCCCTGCGGACGTCCCCGCCGCCCAGGGAGCGGCTGCCGCTGAGCGGCTCTCCCACGTGCGGCGAGCTCCGCGCTGGCGCCGCCGCACCAAGGGGTGCAGGGGGGGGGGGGCATCGAGGGGAGCAGAAGAAGACAACACGGAGCAACCATGAACTCTCGGAGGTCCGCGCGGACCTCTCGGGTCGGCGCGGGAGCCCCCTGGCGGCGCCTCCGGCGCCGCCCCTGGCGCGCTCCGCGGGCCAGGGAGAGGGATCCGGCGCCGATCCAAGAAAGTTCATGAACATGCTGTTTCCTCTTCTTTGAGGGGGAGCGGGAGGGGGGGGGGGGGGCACACCAGGGCCTAGGGCACGGCACGCGCGCGGACAGGTGGGCGGGAGGGGGGGGGCAGGGGACGCGCTCTGGAGGAGGCGAGGGAGCCGCGGAGACATCGGGGAGATCTCACGGCCCCAGCCATGGACAGCCACCACCGTCCCGAGGCGTCGGAGCACCATGTGGACCTGCTCTAAAACAGGAAATACCAGACCATAGACGATCTAACCTCTCTCCGATCTTGCACTGCGCCGACCACAACGGCAAAGTGAGAACGGTATTTGGCACAGGCCCCAGATGCTGGCCTCTGCAAGGCAGACAGACGTTGCCCTCAAACCCCGCTGTCCTCCCCCGCCTCTGCGCCGCCCCACGAGAACTGGCGATGGCCTCCCGGTGCTTCGAGGTCAGGAGAGGCCAGGTCCAGGCGGCGTAAGCCCCAATGGAGGCCGAGCACTCCGCATGGACATACCCCGTCTGGATTTTGCCTCCGCCGCGAAGGGCAGAGGGCGGCAGCAGCCAGAGCTGATGCTAGCAAGCGGCCGCCGTGCTGCTCGTGCTCGCTCTGGGCGCCGGCGCCTGGAGAGCTGGCCGGCGCGTGCCGGCGCGTGCCGGCCCTGCCAGGGAGGCTGCTTCACGGGGCTGTCCCAAACTCGGCGGCGAGCCCAGGAGGGAAGCGAGAAGGGGCGGGCAGAAGGCTTGGAAAGCCTCGGGCCTTCTGAGACGTGTTCTGAGCCTTCCCAGAGGACACAGCGAGCTTCTCAGGAGGCGCGAGGGCTTCTCGGAAGCCTCGCCACCGTCTGAGCTAGCCTGCCCCTTCTCACTGCCCACCCGGGCACGCCACCGACAAGCAGGTGCGCCCTTGTGTCACGGGCGAGGGCGCACAGCACGCTCTGGAGGCCCACGCGGATTCGTGTGAGCGTGCGTCTGTGCTTCGCTCCTGACTCTCTGCTGCTGCTAGTGCTGCTGCCTCTGCTGCTGGGGGCCGCCTTTTGCGATCACCGATCCGCTCCGCGCGTGCCAGCCAGGGCAGAAGTGCACATATAGAGAGAGACAGAGGGCATACGCAACTAAGCCTCGAAACTATGGCCGCAGCTCAGAACTCGATAGTGTGAATTCTGATTCGCTCCGCTCTGCAATAGCCTGGTACTTTGCACTGTGGCACCACGTGCCCTCGGAAATGGAGGCCTGCATATCTGTACCGCTGCGCGGCGCAAGGCGCCTCTGTAAGTGTAAGCAGCGTGCCAGCAGTCATCCAGTGCTGAGCAGCAAAGGTCGGCATGCAGAGTGTGCAAATACAGCGGCATCTGCTGTACCAGCTTGAGTGCACCTCAGAGTCGCAAAGCCAGCACCTGATTTCGTGCTTCGGCCAGTCCGTCTACTTGACTAGAACATTAGAGAAGTCTGGGGAGCAGCATCGACAGTAGGAAAAAACTGGAAAAAATAAAGAAACTTAACGACTGAGTCGGGGTGGTGCATGTTCGTCTGACATGCAAGAGTGGAAGCGTTCGCGTAAATGGTATTATGCGCGACAGACCCGCTAGCCTACGACAAAAACTCGAGCTCTGCAAAAACAGGAGCGTGGTCACTCCCTGCAGCGTCGCCGACCCCCGAGGAGACTGTGCGAAAGTGGGGGGTCGAGAAGAGAACGAAGTCCACGTAGGCATACTTAGCCAGGGAGAAGCCGCTGTCGAGAAAGTGTCGCATACCCGCCTCGTCTGTCTCATCCTCTGCTTCCTCTTCCTGGTCCCTGCATATATATATATATATATATATACAAACGCGCGTCTAACACATACGCGTACCTACACACCATATGTGTATACACGTATACACATACATATGTGAAGGTATACCTTCAGATGTCAGCAGCATGCGTAGTCCCTCCTCCTCCTCCTCCTCCTCCTCCTCCCAATGCTTCGAACAATCCGGAACAATGAGATCCCTACAACACTTGCTGCACCATACAGAAACATCCAACAAAACTACTTCGTCCCCTCCTACTTCCTCTGCCTCTTCCCTCTCATCCTGCTCCTCAGCGCCTCCTCTACGCCACCGCTGAACACGTTGAAGTCGCCAGTCACGACGACGGGATCCCGCAAGGCGCCCCCCTGCGTACCTGCTTTCTCCCTGATGGCGGGGCCCGGACGTCTATGTTTGCAGCGATATGCTCCTCTTCCACAACATCCCCTCGCATCCAGGCGGTGTGGAAAAAGATGGACGGGCATTCTCGCCCCGTTCTTGGACCCAGGGTCATCCTGGAACGATCCGTCTCAAGAGATCCCGCATGGAGATGGGGCCTGGAGCTCTGGCCAGGACGACCGATGTCAGTCCTTTCCCTTCCTTCATGAGACAAGGAGCACTTCACTACCGAGGCCTCCTGGGCCCCGAGATGAGGTCGACCATGTTCCTGGCCCCGGAGAGGCGCGTCTCCCAGGTGCAGGTCCTGCCATTCCCGCTGTGCACGCACCAGTGCGTGTTGAAGTGCCAGATGCTGCGGCCCGTGGCCTTGTGCGTCACCTGGGCCCAAGTGGCGTAACGCGGGCCCCACTTACCAGTCGCCTGCAGGTCCTGGTGCCCCGTCGCCCCAGCGGCGCTGGAGACCTCGAAAAGGCTGCCGTCGACAAAGGTCCCCTGGGCACCGGCGAAGGAGGAGGCCGGCTGGTAGCCAGTGCCCTGCTGAACGAGCCACGGGTCGTCGCACTCCTGCACGCCGAGGAGGGCCGAGCCGAGATTGTCCCGGATGGTCGGGTGTTGCCAGGGGCGGCCGTAGCGCAGAAAGGTCGTCCCAGCTTTTTTTCTCGGGAGGCCCAAATGGCCTCCAGAGCAACCCTCTCGAGGGAGGGACCCAGGGGCTCCAAAGTGGACAGAGGAAAACTGGGGGCACCTCACCTGGGGATGGGACCTCTGGCAACCTCCGAGATGTTCCTCAGAACGCTCTCGCCGGCGGACCAGCGATTGGTGCCGAAGGCATTCCACCAAAAGAGGTTGTAGGTGACGACCTTGATCCTCTGACCCGCGGCCGGCGCGTCGGTCGGCTGCGGAGCGGCGGAGCAGACAGCACCCTGTGCCCTGTAGTAGGTCCGACAGTCGCCCTTGGACACGGTGGCCTCGCCGCCAGCGAACGCCCTGTCCTTCATCCAGCACGAGCCCCACTGGGGGCACAGGCTGACGCTGCTGCAGCCGGCCGCCGCCTCGCAGGCCGCCCTGCACTCGGCCATCGAGGACGTGTAGATCGTCTGCCCGACCTGCTCGCCCTCGTCGGCGGCCAACCCGGCCAGCTGGCTCCAGCAGCCCCCCGCGCCCGCTGGCGATGGTCCGGGCGCCAGAGCCAGGGTCGGCGCTGGGGTCGACGTCGGGGTCGGCGCCGGAGTCGGCGCGGCGGTCGGCGCGCGAGTGGGCGCGCGAGTGGGCGCCGGCGGCGTACCCTGGCAACTCGTGCGGTAGATGGTCCTGCAGCGAAGCGACACGGCCGTTTTTCCCCCGTTTTCGCTTGGCCGTTTTCCCCCCGGTTCTGGCGCCGTTTCTTTTCCGGTTCCGTCGCCTTTAAACTCTCAATCTTCAAGAATCATTGTTGTTGATCCCCCCCTCAATGGTGCACATTGCGTTTTTGTTCCATTGAAGTGCCCCTCTCGGGGCTCGCACACTGTGGTTTATCTGGGAAAATCTTCGTGCTCAAACTTCGTCTTTGGCCCCCGGCTTACGACAACAACGGCTCCCGCCTCATACTTCCTCACAGTTTATTCCGAAATCGCGCGCTCGCGCGGGACTTCCTCACAGCGTATGCAAAAAATCGCGCTCTCGCATGGGACTTCCTCGCAATTCATTCAGACGCCGCGCTCTCGACAATCAGGAATCACGCTCTCACTTTGTGGCCTTTCTCACGGTTTACTTGAGAACCGCGCTATCGCTCGAGACCTCCTCGCGATTCATGCAAGACTCACGCTTCAGCATCCCGCCTGCTCGACCTGGCCGCCGGGGCACGCCTTCCCGACCCGCCCGCTAGGGTCTGCCCGCCCGATTTGCCCGTACGGTTCTGCCACGGGCATTATGATCCTAGCCACCCTCATTTCTCTCGTGCTCCATCCTTCTCCCTCCCCCTTCCATGCGTCCTCTCTTCCGCTGTTTTTGTTCAAGGGCTGCGCTAACGGCACGTGGCAGGCAACGAAGATTTACCCCAAAGGGGGTACCATCGAAGACGAAGAGCGCGGGTAGGGTTTGTGAGATTCGTATTGAATGGCAAGCGAGCGGAAAGAGCAAACAGTCCTAAAATGATGAATGAATTATAATTTAAAAGACTGTTCTGTTACCGGGGGCAACCCCAGCAAGACCTCCCTCAATATCACATTCAAGCATAACACCGGGGTCACGAACGTGTAGCAGAGAATCCCTCCGAAGATGTATCAAGCGAAACGGGCCTGAGCACCTCGCCAACCGCATCGTGGAACCCAAAATGCGAGGATGTCTCAGGCGAAACGGGCCAGAGCGCCTGAACAACCACATCTTGGAACCAGGGTTGTGACGATGTCTCAAGCGAAACGGGCCAGAGCATCTAAAGTCACGGCACTTCGGAAGCTGGAGTTCCGAGGACGTCTGACGTGAGACGGGCCAAATCCTCTGTGGGCCATGGGGCGCACCGCGCTCTTTTGAAGGCAACCCCTCCCCAGCACCTCCCCAGCACCGCCGCTGGGGCTGCCGGGGTCGCCCGGGGCTGCCCCTGGCGACCCGGGCATCCAGGCTCGGGTGCCCTGCCCCCCCGGCCCGCTGTCCGAGGGAAGCCCTGAGAGAGGGGGGTCAAGAGCAGCCCCTCGCCAAATCAAAGCGGCCCGCGAGGGCCATGCAGCTCGGACAACACACACGCCCAGCTGACTGCCTACCAAACCACCCCAACACAACCCGAAGACCCGAATTTGACCCGAAGTTCGGGTTGGGGGGGGTACGGGTTCCATGTGTTTCTTCAATGTTCCCCGACCCCCCCACTGGAAATGGAGGGCAAATTGAGGCCTTCGGGTTGGGTTGGGGTGGTTTGGTCAGTGGTGACCAGCTCCTAAAACAAGCAGACCGTTCGAGACATCCCCGCCATCTGGGCGCGAAGAGGCCCGAGAAGCACCCTGAGTCGGCGGAGCACCAGCCCGCATCACAAGGCACGATCGAGCCGCGTCCAGCCCTGGCGACGACGCTTGCCCCCGGAAGCATCGGCAACACAAGTACTTGCCTGACTGGAACGCAAGCATTATCCTTGCTCCTCCTCCTCCTCCTCCTCCTCCTCCTCCTCCTCCTCCTCCTACTCTTCATCCTCCTCCTCTTCTTTCTCCTCCTCCTCCTCCTCCTCCTCCTACTACTACTACTACTATTCATCCTCCTCCTCTTCCTCCTCCTCCTCCTCCTCCTCCTCCTCCTCATCATCATCATCATCATCATCATCATCATCATCATCATCATCATCATCATCATCATCATCATCATCATCATCATCATCATCATCATCATCATCATCATCATCATCATCATCATCATCATCATCATCATCATCATCATCATCATCATCATCATCATCATCATCATCATCATCACCATCATCATCATCATCATCATCATCATCATCATCATCATTCATCATCATCATCATCATCATCATCATCATCATCATCATCATCATCATCATCATCATCATCATCATCATCATCATCATCATCATCATCATCATCATCATCATCATCATCGTCATCATCATCATCATCATCATCATCATCATCATCAGCATCATCATCATCATCATCATCATCATTCTCCTGCGCTCCTCCTCCTCCTCCTCCTCCTCCTCCCCTTCATTCCCCCTCCTCCTCCTCCTCGCACTCCTCCTCAGCACTTGCTCAGAATTGCAAGGACGTCTCATGCGAAACTGGCTGGACCACCTCGCACGCAGCATCTTCGTACCCAGCGTTGCGAGCATGTGTCAGGCGACTCTGACCAAATCACCTCGCGTGCGGCATCTCCACGCCCAGAATTGCGAGGATGTCTCAAGCGAAACGGGCGGGGCCACCTCAGGTCACAGCATCTCCGAACCCCCAAAAAACATGATGTTTCAGGCGAAATGGGCCGGACCACCAAACGCGCGACATCTGGGCGCCCAGACTTGCGAGGATGTCTCAAGCGAGACGGGCTAGACCATATTAAATCTGGTCATCTCGGAATACGGACATAGAAGAGTGTCTCAAGCAAAGCGGGCTAGCTCAGCTGAATTTAAGCTGTCGAGAAAGTCTCGACGCGCGGGACCTTCGGACAGCACTCGATCTTACCGCAACTACGCCCCCCCAGCACCGGCCAGGCAAGCCGACAACACTCCAAAACCCAACATTTCTGATGGCACAAACGAGAACCTCCCAAATAACCATTGTTGATCCCACCCATCGGTGACCATTGTGTTTTTCAATTGAAGTGCTCCTCCCGGGGCTCGCACCCTGTTTTCTACCAGACCACATCTGGAGCCACCAAATTGTGCCCGTGGCCCCCAGTTTGCATCAACAACAGTTCCCGCCTGATACGTCCTCACAGATTACCAGAGAATCGCGCTCTCGCGCGGGACTTCCTCACGATGTATGCTGGAGTCACGCTCTCGCGTGGGACCTCCTTTCGATTTACTAAATCGCCGCCCCCTCGACGCTCAAGAATCACGCTCTCGCTATGGCTTTTCTCGCTATTTACTTGGGGATCGCGCTACCGCTCGAGACCTCCCCGCGATTCATGCAAGACTCACGCTTCAGCAACCTGCCTGCTCGACCTGCCTGTATGGGCACGCCTTCCCGACCCGCCAGCCCGTCTGGTTCTGCCACGTGCCTTCTGCTCCTAAACTCCCTCCTCCTAATCTCTCCCCTGCTCCGCTGCTGTAGGGGCTCCACCAATTACACGTGGCAGGTAAAGAAGATCTACACCCAAGCGGGAACGAGCGAAGACGAAAAGGGCGGGTATCGGTGGTGCTATTGTTGTTGAACTCTCACTCTTGACGGATAATGATTGTTGATCCCCTCCACCGATGCACATCATGTTTTTGCCTACTGAAATGCCCGCCTTGACCTTCGCATCCTGCTTTTATCAGCGAAAGTCTTCGTGCTCGAACTGCGTCCTTCGGCCCCAACAAAAACAGCAGCAGCAGCAGCAGCAACAACAACAACAGTCAGTTTAAGACTGTTCGTTCCTACCTGCTCGCGTGCCATTCAACACGTCTATACCAAACCCTCGGTACCAGCTCTCTTCCTCTCCCATCGCAACCCCCTCTGGGGGGAAATGTTCCATATCTGCCGCGTGTAATTGGTCCAGCCCCTGAAACAGGGGAAGACAGGACGGATGGAAAGAGGGAGGGAGAACGATGGGCCACGGGATCAGCAGGAGGGGGGCTAGGAGCAGAAAGCACGTGGCAGAAACCGACGGGCCCATCGGGCGGGCTAGACCCTAACATGCGGTTCGGGAAGGCGGACCCAAGCGGCCAGATCGAGAAGGCGTGTTGCTGAAGCGTGAGTACTGCATGAAACGCGAGACAGTCTCGAGCGATAGCGCAACTCCCAAGTAAATCGCGAGAAACGCCAGAATTCCTGAGTGTCGAAGGCGCAGCGTCTGAATAAATCACAATGAAGTCGCACGCGACAGCTCGATGTCTGCATACATTGTGAGGACATACCGCGCGAGAGCGCGATTGGGAATAAAGTGTGAAGAAATATCTGGCGAGATAACCTCCAGATGGCCCAAGACGGCCCAAGAGGCCCCCAAGAGGCCTCTACGACGGCCCAAGACAGCCTCCAAGAGGTCCTCCAGGAAGGCCCGAAGATACCAAAATCGTTGATGCACCTTAGGTTTTTGAAGGATTTGGGCATTTCCTTCTTTTCGGCCTTCCGACGGCCCGAGACGGCCCAAGAGGCCCCCAAGGTCGCCCCAAGATCGCCCAAGAGGCCTCCAAGATGGCCGCATAACGACCCAAGAGGCCCCCAAGACGGCGACCTCCAAGACGTCCAAGATACTCTCAAAGACGGCCGTGAAGCGCCCGAAGAGAGCCCCAAGTCGGTTCAGAGAGGCCCCCAAGACGGCTTCCGACGGTGTCAGACGGGTCGGGAACGCCCTAAGACGGCCAAAGAGGTCCCCAAGAAGCCCCCAAAGGCCCTCAAGAAGCCCCCGAGAGGCCCAGGGAGGCTCCAAAGAGGCCTCCAAAAGGCTCCCAGGAAGCTCCGCAGAGGCCTCCCAAGAGGCCTCGCAAGACGGTTCCCAAGAAGCCTCCTCCTCCTACTCCTCCTTCCCATCATCCTCATCCTCATCCTCATCCTCCTCCTAATCATCATCCTCCTCCCTCTCCTGATCCTCCTCCTATTGCTCCCCCACGCGTTCCCCAAAGGCTTTCCAAACCGAGTCGGGGAGCAACTGGCCCGATAGCGTGGCCAAGCTCTAGCCCAGCTGTCGGCCACGTAGGCGCTTCCAAAGAGGCAGGGGGTGGCGGTGATTCGCCGTAGTCGTCTTCGATCCGCTCCCCCCTGTCGGCTTGCCACAGGGGTGCCGGGCGTGCTTGACCCTTTCGGTTTGGGTTACGGCTCTTTTTTCCAAAAGAACTCTCCCCTGGGGCTTCGGCCCGTCCCGCCGGCCACGCGGAAAATGCTACAGTCAACGCCTCTCACGCCCAAGATGGCCCCAAATGGACTCCAAGATGCCTCCAAGACGGCCAAGATGGCCCAAGATGGCCTCCGAGTCCGCCTAAGATGGCCCAAGATGGCCTCCAAGACGGCCCAAAGGGGTCCAAGATGCCTCCGAGTCCGCCCAAGAAGCCTCTAAGCCGGCCCAAGACTGCCCAAGAGGTACCCAAGAGGCCTCCAAGACGGCCCAAGAGGCCTTCGAGGTCCTCCAGGAGGGCCCGAAGAGGCGAAAATCATTGATTGTCCTTAGGTTGTTGAAGGATTTTCGTATTTTCTCTTTTTCGGCCTTCGACGGCCCAAGACGGCCCAAGAGGCCCCCAAGATCGCCCCCAGAGCGCCCAAGAGGCCTTCAAGATGGCCCCAGGACTGCCCAAGAGGCCCAGAGGACGACCCCAAGAGGGCCCGAAGACGGCCCAAGAGGCCTCTAAGACGCCCAAGGAAGCCTCTAAGACGGCCCTGGAACACCCGAAGAGGTCCCCAAGTCGGGCCAGAGCGGCCCCCAACACGGATTCCGATGGCGTCAGACGGGCCAGGAGCCCGCCAAGACGGCCCAAGGTGGCTCTAAGACGGCCCATGAAGACCTCCAGGAAGGCCCGAAGAGGCCAAAATCATTAATGCGCCTTAGGTTTTTGAAGGATTTGGGCATTTCCTTCTTTTCGGCCTTCCGACGGCCCGGGACGGCTCAAGAGCCCCCAAAGATCGCCCCAAGATCACCCAAGAAGCATCCAAGATGGCCCCAGAAGGGCCCAAGAGGCCCCCAAGACAGCCCCAAGAGGGCCCAAAGATGGCCCGAGAGGCCTCTAAGACGCCCAAGGAAGCCTCCAAGACGGCCCTGGAGCACCCCAAGAGGGCCCCAAGTCGGTCCAAAGAGGCCCACAAAACGGCTTGCGACGGCGTTAGATGGGCCAGACGCTCACCAAGACGGCCAAAGATGGACCTGAGATGGCCCAAGACGGCCCATGAGGCCTCCAAGAGGGCCTCCAGGAAGGCCCGAAGAGACCAAAATCGCTAAGGTTCCTTCGGTGTTTGAAGGATTTTGGCATGGGCTTCTCTTCGACCTTCCGACGGCCCGCGAGTCACCAAAGATCGCCCCAAGATCGCCCAAGAGGCCTCCAGATGGCCCCAGAACGGCCCAAGAGGCCCCCGAGACGGGCCCAAGAGGGCCCCAAGACGGCCCAAGGGGCCTCCATGACGCCCAGGATGGCCTCCAAGACGGCCCTGGAGCACCCCAAGAGGGCCCCAAGTCGGCAAAGAGAGGCCCCCAAGACGGCTTCCGACGGCGTCAGACGGGCCAGGAGCCCACCAAGACGGCCAAAGAAGGCCCCCGAGAGGCCCCCAAGAGGCCCCCAAGAGGCCCCCAAGAGGCCCAAGGCGGCCCCCAAGATGCCTCCAAGAAGCTCCCAGGAAGCTCCCAGGGGGCCCCAAGAGTGTCCCTGAGAGTGTCCCCAGAGGCTCCCAAGATGCTCCGTCCTCCTCCTGCTCCTCCTCCACCTCCTCTTCCGCCTCCTTCGGATCTTCCCCGCCATCCTCCCCCAAGTGTTCCCCGAAGGGTTTCCACAACGATTGGGGGAACGCATGGTCCGATAGCTTGGCAGAGCTCTTGCCACAACGCTCGGCCACATGGGCGATTCTAGAAGGCAGGGGGCGGCAGTGATTCGCCGTTGGCGTCTTCGATGATGTTTCCAGGAATCGCGCTCTCGCGTGGCACTTCCTCACAATATACTGCGGCGCCGTGCCCCCAAGACTCACAAATCACGATCTCGCTCTGGATGTCCTACCGATTTACTTGTGAATCACGTTACCGCCTGAAACTTCATGCATGATGGGTTGACGCTTTAACCGACCGCCCGCTCGACCTGGCCGTGGGGGCCCGCCCGCCCGACACGCCAGGCTGGTGCTGCCGCTTGTGCTGCTGCTCTTAAACCTCCTCCTGCCGAATTATTTCGTGCTCCATCCGTCTCCGGCCCCCTTTTCTCTTCACTCCTTCCCTCTTGCCCCTATTTAAGGGGTGGCGCCAACTACACGCGGCAGGTAGGGAAGATATACTCCCAGGAGGGGATACGATCGAAGACGAAGAGGGCGGGTACTGAGGGTTTGGGATATACGTGTTGACGAATGGCACGCAAGCAGATAAGGGCGAACAGTGTTAAAATGGTTGTTGCGGTTGCTGTTTATGTTGATGGTGTTGCTGTCGCTGGTAAGTTAGAAGTTGTTGTTGTTGGTGGTGGTGGTGTTGCTTCCGGATCCGGCATCGTGCTCATTCCCGGAACCATTTTCTTCCGTTTCGGAAAACTGTTTTTCCGTGCTCAAGATCCAGATCCCTGGAAACGGTTAAAAAAACGGCCCTGCCGTTTCCGAGAACCACTCCTGCACTCGCCCTTGGACACGGTGGCCTCGTTGCCGGAGAAAGCCTTCCCCTTCAGGTAGCACCCGCTCCACTGCGGGCAAAGGCTAGCGCTCTCGCAGCCCTCCTCGGCCTCGCAGGCGGCCCTGCACTCGTCCTCCGACGACGTCCACGCCACGCCAACGGACTGGAAGAGTCCACATTACCACCACTGCCCCAATCTCCCCTAGCCCCGCCACCCCACCTGCCTCGTCGGGGGCGAGGGGGTAGGGAAGAGGAGGGCGGAGCAATGGACTGGTGGGTTTTGAAAGCAAATCACAGAAGGTCTTGGTCGTCCCCATGGCGCCCAGTAGCGCGCTGAATCGCGCGCAAAGCAGACATAGCGCATCTCCCTCACAAGGCGCTATTTGGCGCTATTGGGCTATTGAGCGCTATCTACACGCGACTCTGCGCAACTGGGCGCTATTGGGCGATATGTGGCGCTATTGAGCGCTACTTGGCTCGGCGACGCGTCGGCGATGCAGCGCGCTCCCTCGATCCGACCTACTCGGACACCCTCTGGGAGGCCCAATAGGGAGCCCACAAAAGGACGTACGCGCAGAACCACGTACATGAACACAACCCCCCAGTCCGCGAGACCAACCTCGTGCTACGAACGTTCGCGCAACGCGTGCTCTCGAAAGCAGCGTGGAATCATGCACGTGCACACCCTTCTTTCGCTCCTATAATCCCCAGGGCCTCGCCCCACCTGGGAGGCCCAGGGTAGCCTGGAGAGGCCTGTAGGGTAGCCTAGGGCAGCGAGTGCCCCCCTGAGGCCCAAGGTAGTGGAAGTGGAAGTGGAAGTGGAAGTCTGCGTGCCAGCACCGGGAATGGGAGCGGTCCCCATAGAGGGCAGACCGTGCGCTGAGCACGTCGGAAAATGAACGCCGGCAACGAGCACACGCAGGAAAATACGATTCATAAATCCTACTCGGAAACCTTCATCGGGAGCGGCCAAGAGGGGGATGTCCAAGAGGGGGGGGTGCAAATCATGTCCGGCGGCATGTGCGCGGCCCAGCGGGGGGCAAGGGACGTAATAAAATAAGAAGAGGCGACATGCAATCTGAGGAAATACCATGGCCCCCGCCATGATATCCATCCCCCCCTAGTCATCACCCCCCTCTTTTCCGCCCCCGACTTCTGGGAGGCCCGGGGTTGCGAGCACCCCCGGGGCCTCGCCCTCGTCGGCGGCCAGGCCGGCGAGCTCGCCCCAGCAGCCCCGCGGCGGGCGCGCGGGAGCCGCCGTGCCCGGGGCCCCGCCCGCCGAGCACGTGCAGAGCATGTCCGACGTCCCCGCGATCTCCGCGTCGCAGCGGGACTCGTACAGCACGTCGCAGTTCTCGGCGGCCTCCGAGGCCCCTCCTCCTCCTCCTCCTCCTCATCCTCTTTGCATTATTGTTATTGTTGTTATTAATTTGTATTAACTTTCTTACTAGCATTATTATGATTATATTGTGTTATTGATGGTATTATTATTGTTATTGCTGTTATTATTATCATTCTTATGGTATTGATAGTATTAGTATTGTTCTTATTATGAGTATGACTCTTCTCAGTATTATTCTTATTAGCATTATTCTTAATATAATTATTGGTATTATTATTATTTGTATTATTCGTCTTCTTCTTCTCCCTCCTCCTCCTCCTCCTCCTCCTCCACTTCCTCCTCCTCCTCCTCTCCTCCACCTCCGCCTCCTCCTCCTCCTCCTCCTCCTCTTCCTCCTCCTCATCCTCCTCCCCCTGCCATCTCTCCACTCCTGCCTTCTCTAAATAACTGCGCAAGGGCTTCACGGATTAAGGGCGGTTCGTGTTCAAGATGTGGCTCTCGCCTTAGCACCGCGCACATTCGTCTGACAAACTTGCAGGAGCTTCATCTTTTTTATCTCGGGCCTTTTTCAAAATGTTGCTCTCGCCTCAGCGCCGCGCACATTCGCTCTGACAGTTCGCAAAAGGCTCACGGATCCTCATGGCCAGCGTAGCAGACATGATGTGCTGGACCGATTCATGACGGTCAGGGAGCAACAGATACGTTGATTCGCTGTGTTGAAGTCCCCAGAATGGTTTCCTGGCACGATTTAGGATCGCCAAGACCTCATAATCAGGTTGACTCGTGGCGTTGAAGTCCTTCAGGATTGTTACACGGTTGTCACCCAACGGGGCAATGCCCTCAGTGGAAATGAACCCTTGCAGGGGCATCGGAAGAGGGAGCGTTGAGGGAGGGTGTATTCCAACATCGCTGATGAATCTTAGGTTACAATGGTCCTCCTCGTCCTCTTCCTCTTCCTCTTCCTCCTCCTCATCCTCCTCTTCCTCCTGCTCCTCATACTTCTCCTCATCATCCACCCCTTCCTCCGTATCCACTACTTCCTTCTAAATAACTGTGCAAGGGCTTCATGGATTAATGCCGGTTCGTTTTCAAAATGTGGCTCTCGCTTTAACGCCGCGCACACTCGTCTGAAAAGACTTGCAAGAGCTTCACGGATTGAGGGCGGGCCTTTGTCAAAATGTGGCTCTCGCCTCAGCGCCGCGAACATTCGTTCTAACAGTTCACCAGAGAAAGTTCACGAATTCGAATGGCGAACGTACCAAAAATGGTAGATTGGACCGAGTCATGAAGATCATGGAGCAACAGGTACTTTGATTCGCTGTATTGAAGTCCCAGGAGTGGTTTCCGGGCACGGTTCAGGATCGCCTAGACCTCACATTCATTTTAGCTCGTGGCGTCCTGAAAACGGTGTTCGGGCACGCTTCAGGATTGTTACACGGTAGTCACACAACGGGACAATACCCTCACAGAGGCCTCGAAAGAGGGAGCTTGGAGGAAGGGTATGTGCCAACATCGCTGATGAGTCTTAGGCTTACAATGGTCCTCCTCCTCCTCATCCTCCTCTTCATCCTCCTCCTTCTTCTCCGCCTCCTCCTCCTCCTCATCCTCCCCCTCCTCCGCATCCACTCCTTCCTTTGAAGTCACTGTGCGAGGGTTTCACAGACACGGATTAAGGGCGGTTCGTATTCAAACTGTGGTTCTCGCCTTAGCGCCGCGCACACTGGTCTGAAAAACCTTGCAAGAGCTTCACGGATTGAGGGCGGGCCTTTTCAAAGTGTGGTTCTCGCCTCAGCGCCGCGCACGTTCGTTCTAAAAGCTCGCAACAAAAGAAGGCTCACGAATTCGCATGGCTAACGTACCAGAAATGGTATGCTGGACCAACTCATGACTGCCAGGGAGTAACAGTTACGTTGATTCGGTGTGTTGATGTCCCAGGAGTGGTTTCCTGGCACGGTTCAGGTTCGCCAAGACCTCACAATAAGGTTGACTCGTGGCGTTGAAGTCCTGTGAATGGTGTTCGGGCACGCTTCAGGATTGTTACACGATTGCCCCCCAACGGGACAATGCCCTCAGTGGAAATGAACCCTTGCAGGGGCCTCGGAACATAGATAGACACAGCCTCTCCGAACAAGGTGCCGTTGGGCCTGGGCCTCTAGGAAAATCAGACAGGGAAGCCACACAAGGGGGGAATGTTAAGCATAGTACAGGTACTACACCTACAAATCAGGAGGGAGAGAGAAGAGACAATCGTACTGCTCGAATGCCTTACTGATCAACTTGCCTTCTGGTATGCGCTGCTTCTTGTGCTGTTGTCTGTCCCATTCATTGATCCTCCAATCCACCCACTCCCCCGCCGTGTCGGTCGACCTCTCCCGATCGTCACAGGGGCCTCGGAAGAGGTAGCTTGGAGGCAGCGTGTATTCCAACAACGTTGACGACTCTCAGCTTTACACTTGACCTCTTCCTCCTCCTCCTCCTCCTCCTCCTCCTCCTCCTCCTCCTACTGCTCCTCCTCCTCCTCCTCTCCTCCTCCTCCTCCTCCTCCTCCTGCTCCTCCTCATCCTCACCCTCCTCCTCTTCCTCACCCTCCTCCTCCTCCTCCTCCTCCTCCTGCTCCTTCTCTCCTCCTCCTCCTCCTCCTCCTCCTCCTCCTCATCATCATCATCATCATCATCAGCATCAGCATCATCAGAATCAGCATCGTCATCAGCAGCAGCATCATCATCATTATCAGCATCAGCATCCGCATCTGTATCATCACCAGCAGCATCAGCCTCATCATCACCACCACCACCACCACCACCATCATCATCATCATCAGCATCATCATCATCATCATCAGCATCATCAGCATCAGCATCAGCATCAACATTATCAGCATAATCATCAGCATCCGCATCAGCAACATCACCACCACCACCACCACCACCACCACCATCCTCATCACCACCAACACCATCAGCACATTCATCATCATCATCATCATCATCATCATCATCATCATCATCATCATCATCATCATCATCATCGTCATCAGCATCATCATCATCATCATCAGCATCATCATCATCAGCAGCAGCAGCATTATCCTCATCACCGACAGCATCATCATCAGCAGCATCATCAGCGACATCAGCATCCGCCTCATCAACCTCACCGTCGTCATCTGCAGCAGCATCATGAACATCGTCATCATCAGCAGCAGCATCATAATCGGCAACAGCAACCTCAGCATCGTCATCATCATCAGCATCATCAGAATCCTCAGCATCAGCAACATCCGCATAACCATCAGCAACAGTATCATCATCGGCATCAGCATAATCATCATCAGCTTAGTCAGCATCCTCATCAGCATCAGCCGCGTCATCCTCATCAGCATCGTCATCATCATCATCATCATCATCAGCATCATCATCATAAGCCTCATCATTAACATCATCAGCATCCCACTCCTCCTCCTCCTCCCTCCCCCTCCTCCCCCCCCCTCCCCGTCCCCCTCACCCTCGCCCTCCCCATCCCACTCGTCCTCCTCCTCCTCCTCCTCCGCATCCTCCTCCTCCTCATGTCCCACCCCCACCTACGCCACCACCTTCACCTCCTCCCCCTCCTCCTGCTCCTCCTCCTCCTTCTCCTCCTCATCTTCTTACTGTTACCATCAATAATATTACCCGCCGTATGCATATGTTTCTTTTCTTCTTCGCAATAATATCATGAGTCTTGATACTCTTACTGGTGTTCGTCTTAGTATTGGTATGAGTCGTATCATCAGTCTTATGGTTATTACTAGTAGTAGTAGTAGAAGAAGAAGAAGAAGTAGAAGTAGAAGTACTGGTGGTAGTAGTAGTAGCAGTAGCAGTAGCAGTAGTAGTAGCAGTAGTAGTGGTAGTGGTAGTAGTAGTAGTAGTAGTAGTAGCAGCAGCAGTAGTAGTAGTAGTAGTAGTAGTAGTAGTAGTAGTAGTAGTAGTAGTAGTAGTAGTAGTAGTAGTAGTAGTAGTAGTAGTAGTAGTAGTAGTAGTAGTAGTAGTAGTAGTAGTAGTAGTAGTAGTAGTAGTAGTAGTAGTAGTAGTAGTAGTAGTAGTAGTAGTAGTAGTAGTAGTAGTAGTAGTAGTAGTAGTAGTAGTAGTAGTAGTAGTAGTATCGTTATTCGTGTTCGTATCATAATTATGTATAGTGTTATGTGTGTTATTACTAGTGCTAGTAGTGTCAGCATTCTTTGTGTGATCCTTAAGAGAATTATTCTGCTTCGTGTCAGTAGTGGTAATCTTACTCTTTGTAGTATGAGTCGCATGATTCGTAGTGCTCGTATTGATACTAGCGATCTTACTCTCGTGCGTCTCAATATACGTACTCTGGTTAGTGTTAGTAATATTCGTTTTCTGAATATTGTAAGTCAAATTACTATTCGAATGATTCGTCTCATTGGTGTTATTAGTTCTTCGTTGTTGTGTTCGTCTTCCTCCTCCTCATGTTCTTCCTCCTCTTCCTACTCATCCTCATCCGCCTCTTCCTCATCATCCTCCTCATCATAATCCTCCCCCTCGTCATCCTCATCATCATCATCATCACCATCATCATCATGTTCCTCCTCCTCCTCCCCGCGAGCCCTTGGGGCGAGGGCACGCGACAGCACGGCCGCCGCATCGGCAAGCCGCTTGCCATGGCTCCGTCTGTCAATGATCGCACCTGGCATTGCAGGTACCAAGTGCATGACAGGACGGGGAAGCAATGTTTCAACAACAAACCTGAGCGAGTTCAATGTTTCAGGTGTCGCAGGCCCGGAGGATCCTGCTCCCACTCATTTGTTTCTTGATATGCGGGTCGAGAGCAAGCCTCTTCCGATAGAAGCTAAGCGGGCCGCGCACAGTTTTAATTATCGGAGGGGGGCAAAAGAAGGCGGGGCCTCACATCAAGACCGGGAGAGGGCGAAGCCCTGGGATCAGGCGATGCCGAAGTCGAAGTGCAGGAAAAGGTACGCCTGGGACAGGAATCCGGTGGCGAAGTCCCGGGAGGCGAAAAGCGGGTGGTGGTGCCGTCAGCAGCGATTCGAGTACACCAGCCTCATCAAGTGCGGGGGAGGACGCGCCACGCAACCAGGACGACGACCGAGAGGAAGAGGAGCACCACTGGGTCGGTGAAACCTCCCACTCATACAAGGAACCGCCCGAGCCCAGTGAACATGCTCGAGACGTTCGTTGCAAGTCAGCGCTGGCAGGGTCCAAGAGATGAAGCTCAGATCGACCATGGGCCAAATCTGCAAAGTTGCGTCAGGCTCAGGCCACCATCCTCAAGTTTGAACGACAGATTGAGTCCCTGTCGGCCCACGAAAATAAAAGCATGGAGGTGGAACAACCTGAAGCAGACAAGCGTGAGGATGCATAGAGTCCATTCGATGAAGGCCGCGCGCGTGCGCGTGTGGCTGAGTTGGACAGACAGATCGATATGGCTTCCAAATGTAAGGGTGACGCATGGGCTGTTTTGCAGAAGTCGTTGTCTGATGAAAGAAGTGTGCTGCATAACCAGATCACCAGCAGGAAGCCAGCAACAGCTCAGATGTTCGCCATCACGCGGCAGATTGAGAATGTTGAGAAGCAGATGTTCAAGCAGCAAAAGTTTTCTGAGCAGCAGCGAGAGCACAGGGCTGCGCTCCGAGCTGAGCTGGCCAAGACCGAGCAGTCGATCCAAGACAAGCGCACCAAGTTGGTGGAGTTGGGGGCGCAGCATTTGGAGTTGGCCAGGCGTTCCACACTGCCGCCAGTCGGACAAAAAGGTGACTCGGCTGCCGCACATGAGCCCACTCTGGCGATCGGCCTCGATGCCAGCAAGCTCGGGGACATCCTGCGCAGCTTGAGCGCTGGTGAACTGGCCATGTCCATGGCGGGTGGAGTGGCGCAAGCGCTCCCAACAATTATCAACAATGCGCAGGTGTAAGTGCTTGGAACGGCTCGTGCGGCAGCTGGAACACCCGATGTGGAGCGTGATGATGGAGACGAAGCTGCTCACCCTGTCGTTGTTCCTGCTACCCCTTTACATGATGGTGAGCACCAGGGTAGATTGGCACAGCTCTACGGCCCCAGCGGCGGGAACACTACTCATGGAGGCGTCGGTCACAGCGGCGCCTCATTCTCCTCCACATGGTTTGCTCGACAGTGGCTACGAAAAGCACAAATCAGGACGAGGGGACAGCGTGCGCGCTGCACCCAGAAACATGTAGGCCAGGGACTCCGAGACGTCGGTAAACGCTGATAGCTCGGGGAACCCCGGAGGCGCTCGGGGGCCCCGGGGAGGCGCCCAGAGGCGGAGGGGCCCCCGTCCGGGTCGAGCCCCGGAGGCGCTCGGGGAGCTCTCCGGGGCCCGGCCCAGAGTGGACGTGCGGAGCGTTCGGCTCTGCCTCGGGCGATCGGGCCCATGCCGAATGCGACGCTCGTGGTCACCGACCTGCTCGCTCTCTCTCTGCACAGTGAGGGTGCGGCTTGGCACCGAGACCGGGCTGATGCACAGGCCACATACGCGGACATCTGGGGAGAAGTGTTCGCGACCGTTGGCGACGCACGGCCTCCTCAGCTTTTTTACCAGATTCCAGCGCACATGCCACTGGATAAGGCCATCGGTTCTCCTCATCTGTTTGCTCTGCCGCATCAACTGTTGGGCGGACTGGTTTGCGTGGAGGGGGTGATGGAGCATGCCTGTCCAGAAGATATCCTCCGGAATGATGAGTTCCGCATGTCGGAGGCAAAGTTGCAGGCCAGCTTCCTCGGATGGGCGGCGGCGAAGATTGCTGATCGTGATGGTGAGTCTGACCGCACTGCTCGCCCGTGTAGGCCCCCTTCCTTCACGGCCCCTAGGTTGAACCTTACTCAGCATAGTATAGTGCGTAGAGTCAAGGTCCGGGCCAAGTTCTTGCAGTGCAAGTAAAGGTTGTGTGTTGCTAGGGCCCCTGACAGCCTCTCCAAGCTGCTTGTCAGGCCCTGCACCCCGACCTCTCAGTAACGTTTGATGGCTGAAAGGGACCAGGGCCTAACAGAGGCTCCTAGCATGCAAACTGATGCTGCGCGCACGGCCCTTCACGGGGCTAATGTGGTAGATGGTAGTTCGGCCGCCTCGATGGGGGTTCCTGCTCACGGCGAATCGGCGGTTCCGCCGTCTGATGCTCTCGTCGAGCTCCGTGGGCACCAAGTTTTGGTGACCCAAGGAGGTGACATGGTGTGCACCCTGTGCGGCTCCTATCAAGCGTCTGTCCAGACTGCCAAATGTAACCTCGACTTGGACTGCAAGGGTCCAGCTGAAGACAAGCCTGCCAGAGCAAGACAGCGATATCACATTGCTGCGATCCGAACTGGCAAGAACCCCAAGACGGGAAAGAAGCTCGCCTAATTTTGTGGGCCCTCGAGCCCCATGATGGCCCGTGCTCCTGTCCCTCAGTTGCACGACTGGTCATCAGCGTGGTCCTCCTACTCCTCCTCTCCTCCTTCCCCTCCCCCTCCCCCTTCCCCTCCCCTTTCCCCTTTCCCCTCCCCCCTCCCCCTCCCCCCCCTCCTCCTCCTCCTCCTCCTCCTCCTCCTCCTCCTCCTCCTCCTCCTCCTCCTCCTCCTCCTCCTCCTCCTCCTCCTCCTCCTCCTCTCCTCTCCTCTCCTCTCCCCCCCTCCTCCTCCTCCTCCTCCTCCTCCTCCTCTCCCTCCTCCTCTCTCATCATCATCATCATCATCATCATCATCATCATCATCATCATCATCAATCATCATCATCATCCATCATCAGCATCAGCATCATCATCATCATCATCATCATCATCATCAGCATCATCATCATCATCATCATCATCATCATCATCATCATCATCAGCATCATCATCATCATCATCAGCATCATCATCATCATCATCATCATCATCATCATCAGCATCATCATCATCATCATCATCAGCAGCAGCAGCATCAGCAGCAGCATCAGCAGCAGCAGTATCAGCATCAGCATCCTCAGCATCAGCATCAGCATCATCATCATCATCATCAGCAGCAGAATCCTCATCATCATCATCATCATCATCATCATCATCGTCATCATCATCATCAGCATCAGCATCAGCATCAGCATCATCATCATCAGTATCATCATCATCATCATCATCATCATCATCATCATCATCATCATCATCATCATCATCATCATCATCGGAATCATCATCATCAGCATCAGCATCATCATCAACATCATCGTCAACAACATCATCATCAACATCATCATCATCATAATCCTCATCCTCATCCTCATCCTCATCCTCCTCCTCATCATCATCATCATCCTCATCATCATCATCATCATCATCCTCATCCTCCTCCTCCTCATCATGATCATCATCATCAGCATCATCATCATCATCCTCATCATCATCAGCATCAGCATCATCATAATCATCATCATCATCAGCAGCATCATCATCATCGTCATCGCTATCGTCATCATCATCAGCAGCAGCATGATCATCATCATCATCATCAGCATCATCATCAGCAGCAGCATCAGCATCAGCATCAGCATCATCATCATCATCATCGTCATCAGTATCATCGTCAGCATCATAATCATCAGCGTCATACTCTTGATCATCATCATCAGCAGCATCAGCATCATCAGCATCGGCATCATCATCATCAGCATCAACATCCTCATCATCAGCAGCATCATCACCGTACTCAGAATCATCATCATCAGCATCATCCTCATAATCATCGTCATTAATCTCCTCCTTTTCCTCCCCCCCCCTTCATTCCTTCTCATTATAAAAACTCCTCCCTGTCACGCCCCAAAGCCAGTCGGCAGGGCCGGCCGGGCGTTCCGCCTGAGACTTCCTTACCACTTTTGCTCCTGAAGCTAAAAAACATGAAACCAGTTTCATAGATGAAGGGCGGGTCGTTTCCACAGTGTGGCTCTCGCCTCAGCGCCGCGCATACTCGTCTGAAAAACTTGCAAAAGCTTCTGGGATTGAGGGCGGGCCATTTTCAAAAATGTGCCTCTCGCCTTAGCCGCGCATGTTCATTCGACTTTCAGCATTTGCAGCAAGAGTTCCACAGATTCCCACGGCAACCGTACCAGACATGGTGTGTTGGAACGGTTCAGGATTTGTCAGAAGGCAACAGTTAATTACGTTGATTCGCTGTGCTGAAGTCCCAGGTGGCAAGATTCAGGATCGTCAAGACGCAACGGTCAAGCTGATTCGTGGCGCTGTAGTCCCGACAATTGTGTTTGGGCACGCTTCAGGATCTTCAAACGGCTGTCTCCCAACAGGGCACTTCCCTCAGTGGAAATGAACCGGTGTAGGGGCATACGAAGAGGGAGCTTGGAGGGAGGCTTTCTTCCAATATCGTTGATGAGTCTTGGCTTTATATTGGTCCTCCTCCTCCTCCTCGCCCTCATCGCCCTCCTCCTCCTCCTCCTCCTCCTCCTCCTCCTCCTCCTCCTCCTCCCCCTCCCACTCCTCCTCCTCCTCCTCCTCCTCCTCCTCCTCCTCCTCCTCCTCCTCCTCCTCTTCATCATCCCTATCCTACTACCTACTATCCTACGGAAAATACAACCCACCCCCACCCACAGTCAGGAACCCCCACTCCAGACCTGGTGATCCAGGGGGTTCCTGGCTGGGGCTGGGGGGGGGGGGTCTTGGCTTCCAAGAACCCCAAAACACCACCCCAACCCCCAGCCAGGGCCCCCTGGATCACCAGTTCGGGAGTGGGGGGGGTCCTGGCTGGGGGTGGGGATGGGTTGCACCGTCCTCATATCCCCCCTGGCGTGGCCAAGACCCCCTTGGCCGATGTACCCTCCCAAACGAAACTATAAACTATTCCCATCAGGTCTCGAGGGGCACATCCCCAGCTGGGGTGGTGGGATGGTGGGGATCGGGATGGGGATGGGGATAAGGATACCGACACCTCCTCCGCGGCCGCGACGCACACCTGCTGGAAGCTCTCGCAGTACCTGTCGCAGCGGCCCCCGTACGGGGCCGTTAGCACCAGCGCAGTGCAGCTGCCGCACGTCACGCCGCCGTCGACGTCCGGCCACTGCTCGACCGGCAGGCAGGACGACCGCGACTGCGCGAGCCTGAGCGAGGCCCCGCCCACCTGGACAAGCGACGGTGCCACCGAGGCGGTGTCCCAGAGACGGGTCGGCCTTTCGGCACGCGCGGTCGCGACCAAGAACGCCACCTTGACAAAGACGCCCATGCTGCCAGTCTAGATGGTCGGACGAGCGCGCCGCTGCAGTGGGGGTGCCCAGAAGCTCAACCCGAATCAAACCAGAATGACTGCGGACGATGGCCGGGATGTCAGTGTGGACCTCGCTATCGAAAGATCTCGCGAATGATACCGCATGTTACAAGCTACATGAACCGCGCAATTCACTCACTGACGACGCCCCCGCTCGCGATTTCCTCCGGATTCAAGCGTGAGGATCCCAGGGACTCAAAATTAGACGTGCGGGCTACCGCCCGAGACTTCTTCACAATAGATTCAAGCCTGAGGGGACCAAAAAAGACGACGACTACAGGCTTGAGGATGACCCGCTGGGATTAAAAACACGAAGTGCGTGCCCCATAGGGAGGGGGCTCCCGCTTGAGACCTCCTCGCGATTCACTCGCAGACGAGGCTCCCGCTCAAGACATCCTCCATATTCAAGCTTGGGGAGCCCACAAGTGACGACTGAGGATGACCCCCTGAGATTCAAAATTGGAAGTGCGGGGCCCATAGGAAGGGGGCCACAGCAATTGACTTCTTCGCAATTCACTCGCAGACGAGGCTTCCGCTGGAGAGTTCCTCCATATCCAAGCCTGATAAAGCCAACAGTGACGACACTTAACGCTTGAGAATGCCCAGCTGGGATTAAAAACATGACGTGCGGGCCCCGCAGGGTGGGGGTTCCCGCTCAAGACTTCCTCGCAAGTCCATCACAGACGAGGCTCCTGCTGGAGACTTCCTTCATATTCAAGCCTTAGGAGCCACAAAATGATGACGGTGACAATGTTGTGGATGACCCGCTGGAGTTTAAAACAGGGCGTGCGGGACCCATAGGGAGGGGCTTCCGCCCGAGACTTCCTCGCGATTCACTCACAGACGAGGCTCCCGCTCGAGACTTCCGCAAGATGGGTGTATGGTGTGTGTGTGAATGAAGGAGTGCGTGAATGATATTGATGCTGGTGATAACGATGGTGATGGTGACGGTAGTGATATGATGGTGATGGTGATGATGAAGGTGGTGGTGAGGATCGTGATGCTGATGATGATGAGTGTGATTATTGTGATGCTGCTGAATATGGTGTTGTTGTTGATGCTGATGGTGACGAAGATGATGTTGGTGATGATGGTGATGACAAACACTGATCGATGATGATGGGATGGTGATAGGAAGGATGATGAATACGATAGTGATGATGGTGATGATGATGAAGACAATGATGATGATGATGATGATGATGATGATGATGATGATGATGATGATGATGATGATGATGATGATGATGATGATGATGATGATGATGATGATGACAAAGGTAGTGTGGTAACGATGATGGGTGGTGAATGATTGACAGCAGGAGGGGGTGAAGGGTTCCTACGCGGGGTGTCCAGAGAAAACAAAACAAGCTTAGGATGTGGGGAACAAGAACCCCACTTAGGATGTGGGGAACATATGAGGTGCGGGACCCATAGGGAGGGTGCTCTCGCTCGAGACCTCCCCGCGAGTCACTCACAGACGAGACTCGCGCTCGAGACTTCCTTAAGATGGCTGTGTGAGTGTGTGATTGTGCGGGTGAGTGCGAGTGTGCTGATAATGACTGATGGACAATGTGGTATGACAATCGTGATGGAGATAGCGTGCTGGTGATGAAGAGCGATGAGCGATGATGAGTGATGATGGTGACGACGATGATAAGTGGTGCTGATGAGTGAGTGCGTGTGAGAGTGTGAGTGAGTGCGTAAGTGCATGTGAGATGCTGATGATGACGGTCATGATGATCATGGTCCTGATCATGGTGTGGTGGGGAGTGAGTGGGTGAGTGAGATGATGATGGCGATGGTGATGGTAATGGTAATAGTGATGGTGATGGTGATGGTGATGGTGGTGACGATGATAATTGATAATAGCGAAGGCGATGGTAATAGTGATGGTGATGGTGATAATGATGGTGATGGTGATGGTGACGGTGGTGGTGGTGGTGGAAGCGATGGCGATGATGATGGTATGGTGATGGTGATGGTGATGGTGATGGTGATGGTGATGGTGATGGTGATGGTGATGGTGATGGTGATGGTGATGGTGATGGTGATGGTGATGGTGATGGTGATGGTGATGGTGATGGTGATGGTGATGGTGATGATGGTGATGGTGATGGTGATGGTGATGGTGATGGTGATGGTGACGGTGATGGTGATGGTGATGGTGATGGTGATGGTGATGGTGATGGTGATGGTGATGGTGATGATGGTGATGGTGATGGTGATGGTGATGGTGATGGTGATGGTGATGGTGATGGTGATGGTGATGGTGATGGTGATGATGGTGATGGTGATGGTGATGATAATGATGATGATGATGATGATGATGATGATGATGATGGTCATGGTAATGGTAATGGTGATTGTGGTGGTGGTGGTGATGATGATGATGGTGGTGATGATGATGATGATGGTGGTGATGGTGATGGTGAAGGTGATGGGATGGTGATGAGAGGAGGAGAGGGGCGATGGTTGAGGCTCCTGCGCGGAGGGGGGTGAAGAGAAAACAAGAAACCCACTTGGGACATGAGGAACAACAAAAAATGCCTGTCGCCCCAAGGCAGACCCCGCACGGCCGACCGTCTTGTGCTGCGGACGATGGCGGGGCCGCTTTGGGCCAAGAATGCGATACGGCCATGGGGCAACCTGCGGCGGTCCCCCGACGCCTCTGGAGGACCCCGCAGGCTTTTCTTAGGGAGCCCACAAAGGACGTACGCGCCCAGCTATGTACATGAACACGGCCCCTCGATCCGCCAGACCGGCCGCGTTATACGAACACTTGCGCAATGCGTACTCTCGAAACCAGCGTGGATTCATGTACGTGTACGTCCTTCTGTCGCTCCCGATTTCTTAAGCCCCCTGCGCCCCCCCGGAGGCTTCTGAAGGCGCCAAAACTGACGAAAGCCATCCGAGAGAACCTGGAGCCTCGAGCTGGTCTTCTAGCCTGCCAAAGAAGAGGACATGCAGAACGATCAGCTGGCAAACGCAGACATTGTGGCAAGCAACTGGCCGCAACAGCGGCGATGCGAGCAACGCAGCCTGGACTCGCTGGGAAGGGACGCTGAAGAACGCGAGGTTCGACTCCCGCGCCTGCGGCTGAAAAAGAAGAAGGCACCCCGTGCGGCGACGCAGGGAGTGAACAGTCTTGCCATCAGAAAGAGACAACATGCTGCAGCTCATCATCTTCCGATAAGTGGCACAGACCAGCAGCTTGTCGCGGATGTACTAGATGAGCCCCCTAATTATGACTGTAAAACCCTCTGCTCTCCTGCACAGGCGAGGGCAAGTCGTGAAGAGACAACATGCGAGCACGTCAGAGGCCAACACAGGATAGGCAACAAAATAAAATGAAGCAGCTTCCACGCCACTGAGCACACCAGAAGGTGTCCCTTGGGCATCAAATGAAAAGTGGAGGCGCCGGGAAACAGAAAAGAGACGACATTGGAGGCTGACGCACGTGCTGCCACAATCGCATGCTAAAAATCTCCCATCAGCGGCTGCTGTCGTGGGGCAGGCCTTTTCAGCGATGGCTGAAGAAGTCACGAACGTCGACCATCAACTAGCACGCGAACATGATGATCTTGACCGATAAGCCATGGCATCCCACTAAATTCGAATGTGAATTCTACTACAGCACCTCGAAGCCAATTCGGCGGCCCAACGGGCCAAAGGCGTGCGCGGGGCGGACCCTGGGGGGCCCTGGACGAGAAGGAAAAGTTAGATCACATACACCCTGCGAAATGCTTTAAAAATCATGGGTTAAGAAATTCAGAGTCTCAGAATTGCAATAAAAGCCCAGAATTTCTATTAAAATCTTAGGATTTACATTGAAACATTAAGAATAATCGAGACTCTGGCCGAAAACTTACGTTTTCTTTAACATCGCCTAGGGTGTATCGTTGTTCTCCTGGGCGTGGCCCCAAGGACCCCCAATGACAGCCCCCGGATCGCCGCTGGCGAGCTCCAAGAGAGCCCAAGAGCGGCACAGGAACGGAGACAAGTGGTTGTAAGGATAAAAAAAATAGCCCCGGGGTGGCCCAAGATGATCCCAGATAGCCCCCCAGAGGCCGAAAATAGGATTGACGAAACAGATGGTTTTTGCATGAGTTCGGCCGTCTCGCCTTTTTGCTTCCGATGGGCGTCTAAGGCCTCAAGATGGCCCCAATATCGCCAAACACGGGTCTGGATGGGGCCCGCACAAGCTCCAAGCGGCCCAGGAGCGGGGATCAATAGATGGCAGGCTCCAAGACAGCCCCCAGCGGCCCCAAGGTAGCCACAAAGTAGCCCTAGATGACCTAAGACAGCCCCAAGAGGCCCTCAGAAAGCCCAAATCCTCCGAAACTTGTTTTTCCCAACCATCCTGTGTTGAGTTGGGTCCTCGTTTTGGAGAGACAGTCCCCGCGTCCCCCCTCCTCCTCTCCTCTCCTCTCCTCTCCTCCTCCTCCAGCTCCTCCCTCCTCCCACACTTGCCTCTGCCCTCCGCATGTCAACCAGTTCGGCACTCCAGTCATCAACCTCACTTTGGCACACCCCTCATACGTTTCGTGGCCCGATACAGCTCCACCGAAGGCCTCAGTGGCATGGTGCCCGGGTGCCCGGGCGTGCCCGGGGGTGCCCAGGGGTGCCCTATAGCCCTATAGCCCTAAGCCCTATAGCCCTATAGCCCTATAGCCCCATAGCCCAATAGCCCTATAGCCCTACAACTCTATAGCCCTATAGCTCTATAGCCCTATAGCTCAATAGCCCTATAGCCCCCTAGCCCTATAGCCCTGATTGGGTTTTTTCTCCCGTATCATGATTTCGACTGTCTCGCCTTTTTGGCTTCTATGGGCTTTTCAAACCTCAAAACGGCTGCAACATCGCCTAAGATGGTTTCGAGTTGGAATGAAAAGGATCCCCCTAAGACTCACAAGAGCGCCCCGTGAGAGGCCCCAGAGAGCATGCAAAGTGTCCCA